TTGAGAAAGAAGAACAAAATTGGAGAAATCACTCTATCTGATATCAAACTATAGTAGAAGGTCATAGTAATCAAAACAGCATGGTACTGGCATAAAAATTGACATATAGATCAATGGAACAGAATAGAGAGCTCAGAAATAAATTCATGCCTTTCTCATCAGTTAATACTTGACACATGAGGCAAGAAACATACAATGGGTAAAGAGAATTTATTCAATAAACGGTGTTGGGAAAATTGGATAGATACATGCAAGAAAATGAAACTAGACCACTTTATTACACCATACACAATGTAGTAAAGGCCTAAATGTAAGACTTGAAGCCATAAAAATCCTAGATGGAAACATAGGCAGTAAAATTTTGAACATTTTTTCATAGTGATAATTTTTCTGATATATCTGTTCAGGCAAGGGAAACAAAAGGGAAAAATAAACAATGAGACTACATCAAGCTAAAAAGTTTTTGCACAGCAAAGAAAACTATCAACAAGATTAAAAGACAACCCACTGAATGGGAGAACATATTTGCCAATGATATATCTGATAAGTGTTACTGTCCTACACTTATAAAGAACTTGTAAAGAACTTATAAAACTCAATACAAAAAAAAAACTAAACCCAATCCAATTAAAAAATGGGCAAAGGACCTGAATAGACACATTTCAAAGAGAACATACAAGTGGCCAAAAGACATATGAAAGAATGCTCAGCATCAGTAATCCTCAGAGAAATGTAAATTAAAAGCACAAAGATATCATCTCACACCTGTCAGAATAGCTTTCATCAATAAATCAACAAACAAGTGTTGGTGAGGATGTGGAGAAAAGAGAACCCTTATACACTGTCAGTGGGAATGCAGACTTGTGCAGCCATTGTGGAAAACAGCACAAAGTTTCCTGAAAAACTAAAAATGAAACTGCCTTGTGACCCAGCAATTCCACTTTCAGGAATATGTTCAAAGAAACCCAAAGCAGTGTGTCATCGCAGCATTATTTACAATAGCTAAGATCTGGAGGCAGTACAAATGTCCATCAGTAGATGAATGGATAAGAAATGGTGGTATATTTACAGAATTGAATATTACTTGGTTGTAAAAAAAGAAGGAAATCTTACATTTTGTGACAGCATAGATGGACCTGGAGAGTATTATGCTAAGTGAAATAAGCCAGTTAGAGAAAGACAAGTACCATGAGTTCACTTACATGAGGAGTCTATTAGAAAAAAAACACCAAACAAACTAACAAGCAATTAAAAAAAAAGAAATAACTGGGTTGAGTATGTCCTGTGAGAATGAGAAGTATGAGCTTATTGAACAATGTGAGTTTTCCTAGCTCACTGAGCATGAGGTTTCCTAACACAGCCATCTGGATATACTGGCTTAAAAGGGATGACAAGCACTGGACAGATGTGGGCCTCTTGGACAGGTGCAGGTGCCATTCCCTGCTCTGCAGATTTGCCTGACAACTATCCCTGAGGCAGTAGACTTAGCTCTGCATACCTCCAGCCAATCTGGAGGATATGTCCAGGTGTGTCTGTGTGTCCTCTGGGACCCACCAACTGGCAATAACATCTCGCCTGCCCAGTGCTTTGTACACATTCACCAGCTTTGCCTTGGGGAAGTATTGAGAATAAACTTGCCTTTCAGAGTGAAGATGACAGAATCAGCTAAAAGTTTATTATGAGATTTCAGGTGTAGGCAAATGAGATTAGGTTTGGGGCTTATGGTTTTAAGGAAGTCTATTGATGGTTCACTTCTACTTATCCCATAGACCTTGAGATAGAAGTCGTTTCTTGGGTGGCTCTTATGGCTCTATTCTTCAGCTATATCCTTCCATTTGCTCTATCCTTTCCACCATGTAAGTTCAGTGTGTTTTGTCAAGTTCCCATAATTTCTGGTCATTTGCATACTCATTTATTTATTTAAAAATTTAATCATAGGGTTGTTTATTTATTCAGCAAACATTACTGGGTACCAATTATATCCCAGCACTTCTGGAACTTGCCCTGTAACTGCTGTCATAGGCAAGGCACAGTCCCTGCTCTTCAAGGATGGACACACTGATGGATTTTCCATGCAAGGTAATCAGTGCAATGAGATGCTGATTAAGTGATTGGACAGGAAAGAAAAGGACAACATGCATTAAAGAATTTGGGGACAGCTTTACAGAATACAGGTCAGTTGGACTGAATTTACATTAATAAGTAAGATGGCACAATATCCATTGTTAGCTAATTGTTTTTTGTGTTATGGTCAGAGAGCTGAATATAGCTCCACTCTTTCTGGGAATACAAGTCCCTTCTGCTTTCCTCTTAGAATCACAAAGAAACCACTTGTTTCTTTTAGTAGTTAATGCTTAATAAGCAGCTCTAGGCTTTTCCTCTATATTCATGTACCACAGAGCACAGGAATCTCTGCTTCTTTCACCCATTACAGCTTGACTTCATTCTTCACTGCTCCACCAACAAGGCTTCTGTCAAAACGATGATGCGCAGCTGTTCCCTGACTTCTCAGCTGAACTAGGAGAAGTCGCCTTAAACTTGCAGTGGAAGGGGAGTAGTTAAGACAGAGAATTAGAGAATTCTTACTGTGTGGAATGTTAAGCACTGAAATGTGAATTTTTGTAAGATTATGAGATTATCCTAGGGTGGAGGGTCTCAATAAAACTATGTCACTGTTACTTGAAGTTAACAGTGGCTCTGAATCTGGAAGGAAAACAAAGGCTGGAAGATATATACCCACTAATTATTTCATATTTTGTAGGTGCATGTTCAGAGTTTGGGGGGCAATATTGTAGTCACCACTGATTCATAAACAAGACAATTGGAGTGATATGTTGTTACAAAATTCACAAGCACTGAGTTATTTCTGACTTTTTATATAAATATATATATGTGCATTCCTCCCTTAGGTAACAAATATAATTATTGCAGACTGTGCCCATATTTTAAGACAAACATACAGGAACAAACATATCCAGTTTCAAGTTTTTGTTTCAATGCTCTGAAGATGACTCACATGGAGAAGATTATTTAGAGCAGCTATTTAATTGGTACTTTTTGTTAACATAGGTGTTAGAAACACTGAATTATCATCACATTTTGACAAGAGATATACATAGTAAAAGTATGAATTATAGAAGCAGATTCATGGAGACCAGGAGAAAAGGCAAGACCCCAGTGATCTCATATATTAAAGTTAATAATAATAACAACTGTATTGATATAAGATAACTTATACAAGATAACCCTTAAAAACTTTGTTTGCAAGTCTTGAATGTATATATTTTTCATGGATTAAACTCACTAAAGAATTTTAAGTGTGGATGTGACATAATGACGTATGCATTTCAGGAAAACCCCTTTGACTGGCAGGGTGGAGAGTGACTGGGAAGAGTATGATAACAAAGGCAGAGAGAGCTAAGAAAATAATCCAGGTGAGAGGAGTTGGGAGTGTGGACTTGGCAGCAACATTGAGGGTTGAGAAAAAGGAGTAAATATATCTAGGGTTAAAAATAAATTCTACAGGAACTGGCAAATATGTAAAAGGGATGAGAGATAAGAATGAGTAAAGAAAGTTTCAAGTTTCTATATATGGTTTGCATAAATAGATAATAACGTATGGACAAAAAAGAGGTAGAGCAAATTTGGGAAGAATAGATGAGCTAATTCACTCTTGAGTATATTGAGTGTGTGATATAGTTATTTAGAGAGCAAATGGAAAAGTGGATTTGTGTTTCAGAAAGCTATTTGAGTTAGATCCAGAGATATGGGGGAAATTAAAGTACATAAATAGTTAAAAGCATGTAAAAGGATCAATTCAATCAGACAATTTATAGAATAGCGAATAGAGGGAAAGATGGAACTGGAGAATCGACAGCATATAATGGAAAGGTAGATGGAGAAGGTGAGGGGGCTGGGGACACAAGGGAAACAACAGTAAAGCATTATGTTATGAAAACTAAAGGAGACATTTGGAGAATAACAGATTGATTTATAATGTTCAGTAATGCCAAGAGGTAATACAGAAAATCCTTTCAAAAAGACAGTTCTAAATTACAAGTGTTTGAATGGTGGACTTTAAGCATGTTTTTGAAAGTGGTGTATGCTGACAAACATTTCTAAATAAAACTAGACCTATCCTAATTTAGACCTGGAGATGTCTTATCTTTAAAAATTTTTCCAAGATTAAAGATAAGAAAAATCCTAGAACCAGCAAGAGATAAGGAGACAGTTACCTACAAGGGAGTTCCCATTGTCAGCTGATTTCTCAAAAGAGACCTTATAGGCAAGAAGGGGCTGAAAAGAAGTATTCCAAGTGATGAAAGGAAAGGACCTTCAACCAAGATTGCTCTTTCCAGCAAGGCTTTCATTTAGAATGGAAGGGCAGATGAAGTGCTTTCCAGATAAGGTCAAGTTAAAGGAGTTTATCATCACCAAGTCCTTATTATATGAAATGTTAAAGAGACTTATCTAAGAAAAAAAGAAGATAAAAATATGAACAGTAAAATTACAACAAACTCACAACTGGCAACAAAGGAACCTGAAAAACAAAAATTAACTAAGCAAACAACTAGAACAGGAACAGAATCACAAAAATGGAGATCACATGGAGGGTTATCAACTGGTAGCGGGAGGGGGGAATGTGAAGAAAATGGTACAGGGAGTAAGAAGCATAACTGGTAGGTACAAAATAGACAGGGGAGGTTAAGAATAGTATAGGAAATGCAGAAGCCCAAGAACTTATAAGTATGACCCATGGGCATTAACTAAGGGGAGAATGCTGGAGGGAGGGGGGTTCAGGGAAGAAGGGGAGAAAGGGGAGAAAAGATGAGATAACTGTAATAGCATAATGAATAAAATGTACTTAAAAATAGAAAAGATTTTCTTTCTTGTATCTTTATTTCCTTTACTCCCTTGTGTTGCAGTTTAAGCCTCTTTCTTTTCGTCAAGATGGCAGCCAGGCCCGGACAAGGTATTAAGCCATCAGGAATGGAGATATCATGATTTTGATTTCTTTTTTCTCTTTCCTCTGTGAGTCATCCATGATGGCCCTTAGCAATTTCAGCTGGAGTCTCCTCCATCCTTCTTTTTTTCTAGTTGGTATCCCTGGTTTAGAGGAAAGCCAGCACTGGATTGCATTGCCAATGTGTACCCTTTACCTCTTTGCTCTGGTGGGCAATGTCACCATTCTTTTTATCATCTGGACTGACCCATCCTTGCACCAGCCTATGTACCTCTTTCTGGCTATGCTATCTGTCATTGACCTGGTCCTGGCCTCCTCTACTGCACCCAAAATGCTTTTAGTTCTCCTGGTTCATGCCCATGAGATTGGGTATACTGTCTGCCTGATTCAAATGTTCTTCATCCATGCGTTCTCTTCCATGGAGTCAGGTGTACTTGTGGCTATGGCTCTGGATCGCTATGTAGCCATATGTCACCCTCTGCACCATTCCACCATCCTGTATCCAGGGATCATAGGACGCATTGGATTGGCAGTGCTGCTGCGAGGACTGGTCCTCCTGCTCCCCTTCCCTATCCTATTGGGAAGACTTATCTTCTGTCAGGCCACCGTCATAGGTCATGCATATTGTGAACATATGGCTGTGATAAAACTTGCTTGCTCAGAAACCACAGTGAATCGAATGTATGGGTTGGCAGTGGCACTGCTTGTGGTTGGACTAGATGTCCTGGCCATTGGTATTTCCTATGCCCTCATCCTCCAGGCAGTGCTGAAGGTACCAGGGCGTGAGGCCCGATTAAAGGCCTTTAGCACATGTGGGTCTCATATTTGTGTCATTCTGGTCTTCTATGTTCCTGGAATATTTTCCTTTCTCACTCACCGTTTTGGCCACCATGTACCCCATCACATCCATGTTCTTCTGGCTACACTCTACCTCCTTGTGCCCCCTGCACTCAATCCAATTGTCTATGGTGTGAAGACTGCACAGATCCGCCAGCGAGTACTCAAGGTGTTGTACATAAAAGGGTAGATAATACATTCCGGGTGTTGTTTCAGAAGCTCCTGATAAAGACACTGCCATGGCTTTCTAGGTTATATGGATAGAGGTCATCCGCATTGAGAAGGCCTTCTAGTCCTATTAGTCTCATGGCAAAGTACTCATGGGCACTTCATCTCACAGCCAATTGGGATGTACCTGGATGGCTGGTTGTGTGAATACTTTCCACATTCATTGTGTTGTTCTGATCCCAACATTTCTCTGCTCTTTGTGATAGATAAATTTGGGGATAGATAAATTGACTCTGGATATGCCATTTTATGCCTTTTTTAAATGACTGTGCAACATAATCCAGAATGAGAATGGGAATTCCCAACTTTTGTGTGGTTTTAGTTTTACAGTGTCCTCAAAACCTCTAGTTGCTGTGAGCTCTAAGTCACTGGAATCCTGTGTAATGAGTGTCTCTCTAAAAACATTAGCGATGTCCACAATTTGAGAAAACACCTTTTTATTGAAGTATGGCTGTTACTCATTTATTTAAAAGAAACTTAAGTGGGGCAGGTGCTAAATAGGTTCTAGGAATAATGTGTTATAATCCCTCATTTTAAAAAAGTAAAACAGGTCTGTATTTTTAATTCACTATATTTTAACTTATTTATTTTTTGCTTAGAATAAAAAGAATTGAATAACAACAAATGTTGAGTATATGTGTGCTTTATAAATATTAATTTAGCAAAGTAAAAGTAACCATGTAATTATGATCATTTAATAACTGTAAAATGTGTTAGAGTCTGGTGTTGGCAAGCATAGCTTTATTAATAAATATGAAAGTAGTTATGCTACTTGAAAAATGAATTTCTCTTTCTGAAATGTAGATATGGAGTAAAGTCTACCTCTCATTTCTGCTAACAAGAACTGGGTTAAAAGTTACAAGAGTATCATCACAGTTGGTGTATTGCTTCCTCTTCGTTGGATGTTATCCTAAGATTTGGCTTCACTCTTTTGTGTGCCTTAAAAAGAACACATTTGTTCAGTCCTGGAAAAAGTCAAGCTGCAGCTACCTTTAGGTAAGATGCTCAAATGAGGAGAGGATCCCATTCTGGGATTTGTTAGTGGTAGAAGAGTTGGAGTGGATGGCTAGTGTTTTCAATTTCTCTTTTCTTTGTAAACTGGGCTCCGAATAAAGAGTTTTCTGTTACAGAGACTGAGTATTTCGTCTTTAATTTGTTTGGCACCTGTGGATGAAGTAAGAAGGAGTGGTATAAGTTGTTCTTATTGCAGGAAGAATTACACCTTGTCACCACCTTTGTTCTAGATCTAGGACCTAAACTCTGGTAAGCTGTCCTGGGGAAGCCCAGGCTGTTGTGCATTGCATCCATTGGAAAGCAACTTTCTTGACTTTAGGGGTACTTAGTTTGGGTAGATTATAAAAAGAAGCAGTTTGTTCTCCCCTTCCATTTATACCACTTGCTGAATCTTGGAATGTGGATAGAATGGTGGGATTTGAAGCAGCTTCCTTTGATCATGAGATGGGACCATGAGCTGCAGGTGGCAGAGCAACACTATAGAAGAACCTGAATTCCCAAGACGGTCTAGGCACCAATCCAAACTCACCCTGAGACAGAAGTAAATTTGTATCTGGTTTAAGACACTATACAAGATCTGGCAAAAGTAGTTTTACAGTTTTGAGTTCACAAAACACAGAATTTATTCTTGTAATAACCTGAGTGTATTTTATCATACAACTGTAAACCTACTTTTGTCGATCCTTGTATTTTTGGAAATCTTTGTTGCAGCTCAGTAACCTTATAGCTTAATAAGTATGTGTTTATCATCTCAGATCTTCCATGTGGGATGTGTATCTGCCTGAAGCATGTTTTAAAAAATTTTTCTTTTGGGATAGACTCCCCATACCTAAGTGTTGATTATGGCCTTCAAGGAATGTGGATGGTCTCCTATAATGCTTATACGCCTATTCAACCCTCTTGCTCACTGTCTTGTGAGGTTATGCCCAATTGTATTCTTCTCTAAGTACATTCCCCCTGATGATCCATGAACAATAAAGACAGGGCAAGGAGACCGAATCTTTCCCAGATTAGATTTAAGCACCGTTGCAGGGAAAGCATCAAGGGTCTTGTTTTCTAGTACCTCAAATGTGTGTGTGTGTGTGTGTGTGTGTGTATGTGTGTGTGTGTAAATCAGTATAAAATGTATCTCCACAGCATCAATCACACTAAACAAGTTCTAATTACCTGAAAAAATGTTCTACTAATAATTATTGCATGAGCAAATGGATTTTCATGCCCCTTTCCAAATAATGTTTTAATATTGAAATACAATCTTTTGATTATTTTCAAAATTTAATTTTGACAAGTATAACCTTTAAACTCTAAATATATGAGCAGAAGTAAAAATAAATTCTCAAAACATATGTCTCTTCTATATGTAACTGATGCTCAGTTGATTAACACTTATTTACTGACAGTGTCCTTCTAGTCATTTTGCCCATCTTTAGCACAGTTCCTCATTCACCACTTAGACACTCTAATTAGCTATATTTTAATTATTTGCATTTAAACTTATTAAAGCAAAACAGAGAATTATTTCAATTATGAATCCAAGAAATTACGAGTCATAGAACCCATTCACCAGTAGTGATTCACTATTCTAATTCTCTCTCTAAACTTTGTGCTTATTCTTTATTAAGATAAAAAATACTGTTTCTATTTCTGTCATTTAATTTTCTAATTCTGAAAAAATGGAAATAAGAGTCAGAGCAGAGATATCTGATGTTAACTCTAATATGTATCACAAATACATAAGAAAATATGGTTTATTAAAGTGGGCACAGAAATGTGTAAAAAATTTAATTTTCTTTGGAAAAGGTTTGTCTAAAAATCTCTTTATTTACTCTTATTCAAATTTACTATCAGAAGATTTTTGCATAATCTTTAATTGTTTTATTTTCTACTGTGGCTGCTGTGTATCTCATATTTCATTATATTTGTGTTTATTTGTGCCTTTTCTGTTTTTCTTGCTCATGCATGCTAAACATTTATCAATATTATGAAAAGAAATAAATATTTAAACTGTCTTATCATTGAACTAAATGTTAGCTTTGGCTCTTTGGATTAATCTTTTGTTTTCTGCTGACAGATTTCTTTATGCTTTTACCATCTCAAAGATTTGCTAATGAAGCCATTTAAAAATATTATTATATATTTTACAAATGTCCCTTTTTCCTCCATGTACTCTTCTCTCTAATAGATTAGCTTTTCTGCTTGTTTAGCGAGGCCTTTCCCTTTCATTCTAATTTTCTTCAGATAGTTATAGATTTGGACTCTTTTCTATTTGTTCATATATGAAAATTAATTGGTTTGGGTGGTTGGGGTAAGTTTCCCCAGAGACTGTGAAGGTCATAGATTCTGTGCCCAGATTGCAGGGCTCTATAGGTCATTGTGCAGGAATTTGATGACAGGCAGAATTCCCTATTGGCTGTTGAAGAAAATGAAGAGGTGGGCTGGGTTTCCTCTCTTTTGCTAAAAAAAGAGAGAAGCTTTAATGTTTGGAGCTAGAAATGCTACAGTATGTTTTGTGGGTCTGTGGAGCTGGCTTTCCATGCTTTCTCTCTATTTCTAACCTGGAAGACCAACCCTTGGAATTGATGCCAGTTCTCTTTGTTTGGTTTTAGTGCAATGACAGGGTTTGAAGACAAAGAAGCATCTCCTTCATTTTTTCCTTTATTTTTATTGTTTACACTATTATGGATGTCCCTATCCCCCCCTTTTCCCCACGTCCACCCCTGCCTTTGCCCTCCCCACTTCCATCTGGCCATGAAAAGATGCAGAGAATCACAAATTATTAGAAAATTGCAACTTGAAATTACAATAAGATATCACCTCACACCTGTCAGAATGGCTGTTCTGAAGAAAAGAAAAGGTAAGTGTTGGTTGGTAAGAATGTAGAGAAGAGGCAACTTTGTGCACTGTTAGTAGGAATGTAAATTGGTGCAGTCTCTATGGTAAACAGTATGGAGGTTCCTCAAAACATGAAAAACATGAAAAATTATAACTAGCATATAATCTAGCAATCCTGCTTCTAGGTATACATACAAAAAAACAAGATCAATATCCAGAAGAGATATTGGCTTCCCCATGTTCATTGCAACATGGTTTACAATACGCATGGTATGGAAATAACCTGTGTTTATTGACAAATGATTGATAAACAAAATGTCACTGTTTGCATACGATATGATAGTAACATAGAAAACCCTATAGACTCCACCAAAAAATTACTCAACCCAATAAATGAATTTGGCAAAACAGCAGGATTCAAAGGCAATATCCAGAAATCAAAGGCATTTTTATACACAAACAATGAAATATCAGAATCAGAAATCAGGAAAAAATTTCTATTTGCTATAATAACAAGAAAAACAAAGTGCTTAGGAATAAACCTAACCAAGGAGGTAAAAAACCTGTATGCAGAAAACTATACAACCCAAAAGTAAGAAATTAAGGAAGACACAAATAGATGGAAGCATATACCATGTTAATGGATTGGAAGAACTAACTTCATCAATATGTCCCTATTACCCCCCAAATTTATAGATTCATCACAATCCCTATTAAAATACCAATGACATAGTTCACAGATATAGAACAAACACTTCAAAAGTTTATATCAAACCATAAACGACCCCAAATAGCAACAACAATTTTGAGAACGAAGAACAAAATAGGAGGGATCACAATACAGGGGGATGCATGCATCCCTCATGCATGTTCATGCATGCTAAACATTTATCAATATTATGAAAAGATTTAAATATTTAAACTGTCTTATCATTGAACTAAATGTTAGCTTTGGCTCTTTGGATTAACCTTTTCTTTTCTGCTGACTATATTACAAGGTCACTGTAATCAAAACAGTATGATACTGGCATAAGAACAGGAACATAGACTAATGGAATAGATCAGAGAGCCCAGAAATAAATCCAAGTCTCTCTGGTCAATTAATATTTGACAAAGGGGGCAGAAGCATAAAATGAAGTGAAAATAATCTCTTCAACAAATGGTTCTGGGAAATCTGGACACCTACATGCAAAAAAATGAAACTTGATCACCAACTTACACCATACACAAAAATAAACTCAAGGAGAATAAAAGACTTAAATATAAGTCACAACACCACAAAAGTCTTAGAGGAGAATATAGGCAGGAAGATCTCAGATATTTCACACAGCAATATTTTCACTGATATGTTCCTTAGAGCAAGGGACATAAAGGAAAGAATAAACAAATGAAACCTTATAGGGGACCAGCACACAGGACCCATGCCCATGGATAGGTTTTCCCGTGGGGAGTCAGGCCTGCATTGTACCTAAGCTGCTATGAGACTTGCTTTTGCTAGAGCTCCCTCATCCTGAATTGAGGAAGAAAATGTTTACTGCATATTTCTAAAGTAACTTCCTAAAATCTGTGCTAAACGTCCCAAGTATGGAGTGTACCTAGTTCAACCACTTTTTTCCTTGATCTGTAACACCCTTCTCTTTGAAGTAATTGGCAACATTCTTTCCTTTGTTATCTATAAAAGGTAATCACCTACAGTGAATCTATGCAGAGTAAATGAGGACCATCCTAGATGTAATGTGCCCAGAAAAGCAAGAAAAACCTGTCCAGGTAGAGGTTGGCACCCCCTCTCTCACTTAGAGAGTGGCCATACTGTCCCTTTTTCTCCACAGGACTTCTGTAGTTCATGTGAATTTGTTCATTTCAGTCACAGCTCACGGACTTTGTGGGCTGGAGTCCACATCAGGACCTCACTAAAATAAAAAACTCCTGCATGGCTAGAGAAAACAGCAGTAAAATGAAAAGGGAATCAACTGTATGGGAAAATATATTTGCCAATGATACCTCAGACAAGGGTTTGCTTTCCAAAATATATAAGAAACTCACATCACTCTACTCCAGCAAGACAGTCTAATTAAAAAATGGGCAAAGGACCTGAACAGGTACTTCTCCAAGAAGGACATAAAGAGGGTCCAGAGACATATGAAAGGATGCTCAGCATCACTAGCCATCAGAGAAATGCAAATTAAAAGCACAGTGAGACACTACTTCACACCTTCAGAAAGGCCATCATTAACAAATCAATAAACAATAAATGCTGGGAAGGTTGTGGAGAAAATAGAACTCTAGTGCACTGTTGGTGGGAATGCAGACTAGTGCAGCCACTGTGGAAAACAGTGTGGAATTTCCTCAAAAAACTAAAAGTGGAATTTCCTTTTGACCAAGCAATTCCACTTCTGGGATTATACGTTAAGAATCCTGAACCAACAATTCAAAAGAACCTATGTGCCCCAATGTTCATAGCAGCATAATTTACAATAGACAAGTGCTGGAAGCAACCTAAATGCTCGTCAGTGAATGAGTGGATCATAAAACTGTGGTACATTTACACAGTGGAATTCTAGGCAACAGAAAGAAAGAGGGGCTCTTACCCTTTGCAACAGCATGGATGGAACTGGAGAATGTTATGCTAAGTGAAATAAGCCAGGTGGTGAAAGGCAAATACCATATGATCTCACCTTCAGGTGGAACATAATCAACAAAACAAAGAAGCAAGCAAAATATAACCAGAGACACTAAAATAAAAAACAAACTGACAGTAATCAGAGGGAAGGGGGAGGGGGATAATGGGGGAAAATAGGGGAAGATCCATCAAGGAACATGTATAAATGACACATGAATAAAACAAAAGGGGGTAGATTTGAGGGTGGGAGGCAGGGATGGGTGGGGTGGGGGGCTGTGGAGGGGTGAAAATGGAGAGAAATGTTGTACTTGAACAACAATAAAAAGAAAATTATATATATAATTATATATAATTAATTGTGTATATAATATTGTTGATCAATAGAAGAAAAAGGAAATCCTGCCATTTATGACAACATGGATGGGCTTTAAGGGTGTTTTTCTAAGTGAAATACGTCAGACAGAGAAAGGCAAATACTGCATGTTATTATTTATATGTGGAATTAAAAAAATTGAACTCATATGAATGAACAACAAATTGATGGTTGCAAGAGGTGAGGTGAGGGTGAAATGTGTGAATGTGGTCAAAAGGTACAAACTTCCAGTTATTAGATAAATGAGTTCTGAAGTGTTTAAAAAATAGTGACTTTTAGAGAGATAGACAGGAAGGGAGGGAGAGGGAGAGAGAGAGAGAGAGAGATGGAGAGAAAGATAAAGAGAGAAGAATTTTGTCAATTCAACATCTTGAATCAGAATTATTACAATTTTAAGTTTTGTGATATTACTTACACTGTATATATCTCCCATGCTAGACTGTAGGCTTCAGGAAGCCAGGAGTCTTACACATTTCATTTACTTCTTAATACCACATGTCAGTTACTCTCCAAGGCAACAAACATCCACAGTAGTTATTTATGATACTGAATTCAATTAGTATGCAAACTTGATACCTCTGCAACTGAATGCTTCCTTTTTAATTTTCCTAGTTTTAGTGGGATTTTATCCTTTGGGCAGGAGGACAGATCAATCTCAGAATTAGATGCCCCTCACTCGACAGAGACAGGGTGTTTAATTGAGCGAATGCTCAGGAGTGCTGTTGGAGATTGAAAGTGCAGATTTCTCACTCTTATTCCTTCTGCAGTCCTGGCAGTAGAGAATACCCACGAGGAATTAAAGAGGGATCAAAGTAATAATGGTAAAAACCTAATAAATGTCATAGGCACGGCTCTCTGGTAAGTCATGATTGGAAAATATAGTTGGGACTAGAGGACACAGAGGAGGGCCTCAATTTCATCCCTTAAATTTTGGGTTTTACAATACAATCCTACCCTCAATCTAGCTAAATATGGTGAGATTTGATTTGAAAATTTGGCTCCAAGTGCAAATATCCCATCATCTGCAGGGAGGATTGCAGGATCCCCCAAAGCAAAGCCCTAGTAGAATGTAAAATGCAAAAGAGAGAATAGAGGCCTCTGAGTTTCTCTCCAGGAAAGAGATTTTGGGCAGGTGAGTTTATGATATTTGAAAACAAAGCCAAAGCAACTCCACTGGTGTTCTTACAGACCCTCCACACAGGAAGCGAAACAGGTTGGAACATTTTTCTTCCTCTTGATATGCAACAACCCTACCCACTGCTCCCAACAACTTTTGATCAGTTGTATTAGTGACCCTTCTTCCCATATGAAAAAGCTAGCCTGAGAGAAAGAGAAATTTCACCCGAATTATGCAGCCCTTGTGATGAGAGGAAGAAAAGCCGTTTTCTGTGGAAGTGGAAGTGAAAGCAATCAGATTGTTCTTTAACAGGCGGCATGCAGGCTCCTTTCACAGAGTTTATATGAGATTGATAATGTTACTTGGGGGTTAGAAAATGTGGGGAGGGGCAGGGCACTTCTTTTTTAGTGCAGGGAACAGTGGGAAGGTACTGATACCATAAAGTAATGTAATCGCTATACTGGAATCTTGATAAGGGCGGGAACATTACCACATTAATCAGTTTTTTATTCTTGTGTCTATTCTAGTACTGGAAATATGGTTGTTGCCAAATACTTATTGAATGACTGGGGCTTACATAGGGTTAATTAGCTGCCCAAATTTGTGCAGCTATCAAACAGCTGAATTTAATTTGGGCTTTGTTAAGAAATTCTGGAAGAGTTCAATATACCATTTTGGGATGTTGAACGTGCTTTAAAGCAATGTTGAAGAGGCTGGCCTGTACAATGGGCAGATTAAGTCAGTTTCAGATCCTGTTCTCCATGTGTCAACTACTAGCACCCAGTAGAACTGTAACATAAGGTAAGATGAAGGTTTCTGTGAGATCCAGCAGTCAGGTCCCAGTATTCCAAATTGCTACTGTTCCCAGCTGCTTGAAGGAGGGAGTAGAGCAGTGTGAGAAACTGACTGTGGAGTATAAAACCCTCTAGGTTTTTTCATCAAAGCCAAGAAAACAATTCAGGTTTCTGTTTCGAGATGTAGGCAGTTAACTCCTTGGGCGGGGTCCTGATCTGCTGCATCCTTGTGAGTTCCTGGGCTAAGGGTGTGTCACCAGGACACGTATTCTTACAGTGGCTCTCATGACGAAAGAAGTAAAAGGCCGTGAGAGGTAGAACTGTATGCATGAACATTCAGAAATCCTAGGTTCTTCCTGGAAGAAAATGCTCTTCTATACTTTCAGAAGTCCCATGTACTTGACTACAAAGAGTCCCATATTTTTCATGGTTGGGAAATTCAAGTGTATGACTGAAACTCATGGGGGCCAATGCCACCCTTCTGATCACCATCTGCCTGGAGGCTTCTCTGCATGAGCCCATGTACTACCTGCTCAGCCTCCTCTCCCTGCTGGACATTGTGCTCTGCCTCACTGTCATCCCCAAGGTCCTGGCCATCTTCTGGTTTGACCTCAGGTCCATCAGCTTCTCTGCCTGCTTCCTCCAAATGTTTATCATGAATTGCTTCCTTGCCATGGAGTCCTGCACATTCATGGTCATGGCCTATGACCGCTATGTGGCCATCTGCCACCCACTACGATACTCATCCATCATCACTAGCCAATTTGTGGCCAAGGCTAGTGTCTTCATTGTCACACGAAATGCCCTTCTCACTGCACCCATTCCTATTCTGACTGCCCGGCTCCATTACTGTGGAAAAAATGTCATTGAGAATTGTATCTGTGCCAACCTTTCTGTGTCTAGGCTCTCCTGTGACAATTTCACCCTAAACAGAATCTACCAATTTGTAGCTGGTTGGACCTTACTGGGCTCAGATTTCATTCTCATCTTCCTCTCCTGCACCTTCATCCTAAGAGCTTTGCTCAGATTCAAGGCTGAGGGGGCTGCAGTCAAAGCTCTGAGTACATGCGGCTCTCACTTCATCCTCATCCCGTTCTTCAGCACCATCCTGCTGGTTGTGGTGTTGACGAATTTGGCCAGCAAGACGGTCCCCATGGACATCACGATTCTTCTCAGTGTCCTTCGCCCCCATTTTGAACCATATATATATAATTTTATACATATAATTTTATTTATATATATTTTATTAGAATATATAATATATATATATAATTTTTCTTTTTTAAAAATATATTTTATTGATTATGCCATTACAGTTGTTCTATTTCCCCCTTCATTCCCCTCCACCCTGCACACACCCTCCCCCACCATTCCCCCCTTTAGTTTATGACCACGTGTCTCAAGTTCTTTAGATTCTATATTTCCCATGCTATTCTTGCCCTCTCCTTATCTATTTTCTACCTACTATCTATGCTACTTATTCTCTGTACCTTCTCCCCCCTTCTTCTCCTCCCACTCCCCTGTTGCTAACCTTCCATGTGATCTTCATTTCTATGGTTCTGCTCCTGATCTAGCTGTCCTCTTAGTTTGCTTTTGTTTTAGGTGTGGTTCTTAATAACTATGAGTTTGTTGTCCTTTCACTGTTCATCTTTTTTAACTTCTTTTTCTTAGGTAAGTCTTTTAACATTTTATATAATAAGGGCTTGGTGATGATGAACTTGAATTTGATCTTATCTGAGAAGCACTTTATCTGTCCTTCCATTCTAAATGAAAGCTTTGCTGGATAGAGCAATCTTGGTTGTAGGTCTTTGGATTTCATGACTTGGAATACTTCTTTCCAGCCCCTTTTTGCCTGCAAGGTCTCTTTTGAGAAATCCGCTTACAGTCTGATGGGAACTCCTTTGTAGGTTACTGTTCCCTTACCTCTTGCTGCTTTTAGAATTCTCTCCTTCATTTGAATCTTGGCTAATGTAATTATGATGTGCCTTGGTGTGTTCCTTCTTGGGTCCAACTTCTTTGGGACTCTCTGAGCTTCCTGGATTTCCTGGAAGTCTATTGCCTTTGCCAGATTGGGGAAGTTCTCCTTTATTATTTGTTCAAATAAGTTTTCCACTGGTGGCTGTTCCTCTTCCCCTTTGGTACCCCCATAATTCAGATGTTGGAGCATTTAAAGATGTCCTGGAGGTTCGTAAGCCTCTCCTCATTTTTTAAAAATTTTGTGTCTTCATCCTTTTCTTTCTTTTTTTTAAAAATTAATTTATTTTTTTTAATTGATTATGCTGTTACAGTTGTTCTATTCCCCCCTTCATTCCCCTCCACCCTGCCCCCCCAACCCCACCATTACCCCCCTTTAGTTTATGTCCATGTGTCTCAAGTCCTTTAGGTTCTATATTTCCCATGCTATTCTTGCCCCCCCATCTATTTTCTATCTACTGTCTATGCTACTTATTTTCTGTACCTTCTCCCCCCATCTCCTCCTCCCACTCCCCTGTTGCTAACCCTCCTTGAGATCTTCATTTCTATAATTCCACTCCTGATCTAGCTGTTCTTTTAGTTTGCTTTCATTTTAGGTGTGGTTGTTGATAACTCTGAGCTTGTTGTTCTTTCACTGTTCATGTTTCTTTAACTTCTTTTTCTTAGATAAGTCCCTTTAACATTTCATATAATAAGGGCTTGGTGATGATGAACTCCTTGAATTTGGTCTTATCTGAGAAGCACCTTATCTGTCCTTCCATTCTAAATGAAAGTTTTGCTGGATAGAGCAATCTTGGTTGTAGGTCTTTAGATTTCATGACTTGGAATATTTCTTTCCAGCCCCTTCTTGCCTGTAAGGTCTCTTTTGAGAAATCTGCTGACAGTCTGATGGGGACTCCTTTGTAGGTGATTGTCCCCTTAGCTCTTGCTGCTTCTAGGATTCTCTCCTTCATTTTAATTTTGGCTAATGTAATTATGATATGCCTTGGTGTGTTTCTTCTTGAGTCCAACTTTTTTGGTACTCTCTGGGCTTCTTGGATTTCTTGGAAGTCTATTTCCTTTGCCAGATTGGGGAAATTTTCTTTTATTATTTGTTCAAATAGTTTTTCCACTGGTGGTTGTGTCTTTCCCCCTTCTGGTACCCCTATAATTTGGATATTGGAGCGTTTAAAGATGTCCTGGAGGTTCCTAAGACTCTCCTCATTTCTTTGAATTCTTGCTCCTTGACTCTTTTCTGTTTGGCCATTATTTGCTTTCTTCTGGTCCACTCAATTGATTTGAGTCCCAGTTTCCTTTTCATCTCTATGGGTTTCCTGTGGAATTCCATTCATTTCCCTTAATTTAGCCTTCATATGTTTCTCTAATTTGTGGCTATAATCAACCAGATCTGTGAGGAAGCTGATGACCAGTATTTTAAACTGTGCGTCTGAGAGTTTTGCTATTTCTTCGTCGCTTAGATTTATCTCTGGGGCTTTGAGGTCTCCCTGCGACATTTTTGGTCTGTTCTGGCCCTTTAAATGTGAGAAACTGCGCCTTGGACTCCCAGGTCGCTGGGTTGTGACGCTGTATGTGGGGGCGTGGTCAGAGCGGGGAAATGGCGGCGCCCTCTATCGCCGCAGCCGCTGGTCCAACCGCCCACTCCCTTGCTCGCGCGCAATTAGGCAACCGCAGTCAACTCGCTGCACCGCCTTCCCACTGTCTCCTCTGCAGTCGCTCACCCGGTGGGTCACTCGGTCGCTCACTAGGTCCAATCCTGGGTTTGGAACCCGTGCGTCTGGATTCGCGCGTCTGGATTCCGCGCCCGGGTCCTACCAAGCCCTCCCTTGCAGCTCCTCACCAGACGCCGGTTTCGCCCCTTACCGGTCAGGCTGAAGAATTTGTTGTTAGCGGACTTCCGAAAAGTTCAGTTTTCCGTGTTCTGGTTGTGTTTTCTGATGCTAATATTTAGTTGTCCCTAAACTTGGTTGTATGAGGAGGCACGGCACACCCACCTAAACCTCCATCTTGGCGGAAGTCTTCTTCATCCTTTTCTGTTTGGTCATTTTTTCCTCCTTTTGGTCCACTCCATTGATTTGAGTCCCAGTTTCCTTTCCATTACTATTGGTTTCCTGTGCATTTCCCTTCATTTCAATTAGTTTAGCCTTCATATGTTTTTCTAATTTGTGTCTAAAATCAACCAGTTCTGTGAGCATCCTGATCACCAGTGCTTTGAACTGTGCATCTGAAAGTTTGGCTATTTCTTTGTCACTTAGATTTATCAGCTCTGTGGCTCTGAGTTGCTCTTGAGCCATGTTTTAATCTGTTTGTGCCTGTTACGTATGAGGAGAGGAGCCTTAGGTGTTCACCAGGGCGGGGCCACCCAGGTTGCTGGTTTGTGACGCTGTATGTGGGGGCGGGGTCAGAGAGGGACAATAGCAGTACCCTCTGGGCTTTTCGCTGCTGGGGCCTGTGCAGTCCGTCTCACTGCTTGCTCCTTCACCGGTTTATCTGAGTTCGAATGTGTGACCACGGTCAGCCCTCAGTGGGTCCACCGCCTTGTGCCCTCAGTGGGTCTGCCCGCTACTCTACACCTGGGATCTGCCCACGGCTGCTGGTGCACCTGGGTCACGCTCCTGGTCTGGTCTGGTGGCTCTTTCCTGCCCAACCCAGCTGTGCTGCTGGCTCTGCCCCTCTTACCGGTTTGGCTGAAGGGTTCATTGTTGTCAGACTTCCATATAGTTCAATTTTCTGTGGTTTGGCTGAGTTTTTGTTGCTAAAACTTTGTTGTTTTTAAACTTGGTTGTACAAAAAGGTACAGTGCTTCCACCTATGCCTCCATCTTGGTGGAAGTCTCTATATTTAATTTTTCTATCACTGTTGTCAGAATTTTCCCGGTCACTTTTCCCTGCCCCACCCACCCATACCCTGCTCCTACAGTCAATCCCATCTCTGTTATCTATGTCATGGGTCATTTATATATATATATATTCATTGACTAGATCCTTTCCCTTCTTTCCCCCATTATCGCCCTCCCCCTTTTCTCTGGTTACTGTCAATTTATTCTTTGTTTCCATGCTTCAGGTTCTATTTTGCTCATTTGTTGTTTTGATAATTAGGTTTCTCTTCTAGGTGAGATCATATAGTATTTGTCTTCTGCCACCTGGATTATTTCACTCAGCATAATACTCCTCAGTTCCATCCATGATGTCATGAAAGGTAAGAGTTCCTTTTTTCTTTCTGCTGTGTAGTATTCCATTATGTAAACATATTATAGTTTTTTTTATTATTCATTTACTTATGGGCACTGAGGCTGTTTCCAGCACTTGGCTATTGAAAATAACACTGCTATTAATGTAGGGGTGATAAGTTCTTTTGAATTGTTTCAGGATTCTGAAGGTATAGTCCCAGCAGTAGAATTTCTGGGTCAAAAGGCAGTTCCATTTTTAGTTTTCTGAGGAAATTCCACACTGTTTTTTGCAGTGGCTACATCAGTCTATATTCCCACCAATAGTGTACTAGGGTTCCCTATTCTCTTCATTATCTCCAACACATGTTGTTTGTTCATTTGTTAATGATGGCCATTCTGACCAGTGTGAAGTGGTATCTCATTGTGGTTTTAATTTGCATCTCTCTGATGGCTAGTGATGCTGAGCATCCTGTCATATGCCTATTGGCCCTCTTTATGTCCTTCTTGGAGAAGTACCTGTTCAAGTCCTTTGCCCATTTTTATTTTTATTTTATTTTATTTATTCTATTTTATTTTAATTTTTCAAGTACAGTTTTCTGCCTTATACATTTTAAATTGGATTGTTTGTCTCACTGGTTTTGAGTTCTTTATGTACTTTGGAGAACAAATGCTTATTGGAGATATCATTGGCTAATATGTTCTCCTACATGGTTGCATCTCTTTTCATTTTGCTGATGTTTTCTCTAGCCATGCAGGTGCTTTTTAATTTGATAGAGTCCCATTTGTTTATTTTTTAAAATTTCCCTTGCACTAGGAGATATATTGGCAAAAATATTGCCGTGTGGGATAAAGATCTGATTTCATGTATTTATCTTTAAAAAACAAAGAAATAACTGGTATAAACAATCTCTTATGCACTTTTCATCTATGTTTTTTACATATATATCAAAATTATATGTATGCATATTTATGTCAAAATATTGTCCCATATCAATCGATATTACAGCAATAAAATAAAAGAAATTCTAGAATAGGAT